CTGAGAACTCATTATTTCAAAGTGTAAAATATTTCGGAAGAAGGTCGCAAATTTCACTTAACTATTAAAATCACAATTAAATCATTATTAAGTTTAAAGATTCATAGTTTACGGAAACGCAACATTTCACCACAAATTTTATATAACACAATCCAACAATTAATCATATTGCCAGTATTACAGAGAGAATAAAAGTTTCTCAGTTATACAATATTTTCTTTCTTCTCATTTTAATTTGAGATAACAGACATCATTTAAAATACATAAATGACACACAAAGAAACTGAACGTATGGACATCGTGGTCCGAACTTTTTATAATAAAATTTTTACTTTTTTGAGAGTTTAGATTTTTCTAGTAGCTCATGTTTATTGTACACATATAGTATAATGGGAGGAAGACATGATTAAATTGACAGGTAATCTTGAGTTACAGAATACTCAGCATGTTGTACCATTCATGCGAACTTCGCATTAGTTGTATGCCTACATCATGGTGTAACAATTTTAATGACCAGCAGTGTAATTGCGACGGAATCGGAATATCCATCCACACGTTCTGGAGATACAATCGTTTGTTATACGTAAACACTAGCTCCTACAAAGATTTTCAACAAGCTTTTGAATTTGGCTGTATAAAATAAGTGCAAAACCAAAGAATAATTTAGAATAAAATTTGACTAAATTTTTAAATTAAATTACTGTGGTAGAATTGATTAAAGGAATATTTATAAAGAAAATGAAACATTTTATTAATACAAATTATTTTCTTTACGTTTTTTATTTTAACATTGCTAATTTATATATTTATTTAACAACGATATAATATCAATAACAATGTTGAAATTTAAGAACTGAACCAAAAATGGATATAACAGTGAATATTAAATAGATAATTGGAACAAAATAATATTTAAAAAAAAATCTGTTAAAATTTTAATGCTCGTTTCTTTTCGTTTATTATTTAAAATTTTCACACGTAAAATTAAATAATGAGAATAATAAATACTCATCACGTTTACTTATATTTCTCTCAAATTATAATGCTTTGATTTTCTATAATTTTAATCAATACGATAAGAATATGAACATGAAGAATAGAAAATTTAATTAATTTTTGTTTTTTATGTTCATTCTATTTCATAAAACGAAGAAATTACGAAGAAAAATGTTATTTTGTTACTCATTATTAATTATTATCAGTTAAATTTTAAAAAATCCAATATTAATCAATTTAAATAAGCAATATTTTAATTAATTTACAAATAAAATATTATTAAATTTGTACGTTTAAACATCTTTAAACAAATGATAACATTGTTTTATTTCTTAATGGCATTTTAATTTTTAAATTAAAATTGTTTAACTTTTAATAGATTCATGATGCGTATTGCTTTTGACATACATTCGTGTCTGAAATTGTTACATTTATAAATAGACTATTGTACATTAAATCAAATACGTCAACGCTCATGTCAACAAATAAGTTGACGAGACAAAGCAACTTTGTGGAAAATTAATGTCGAGTATCAGTTTTATAAAAAATAGACGAACATTGTATGCTGGGAAAGTTAATGCACTCTTTACCTTTATATTCTTGTCATACTAGAGGTTAAGTACGAAACAATAGTAGCTACATATCAATGCGTACTATTAACATCAACTGGTAATAGTGTAAACCTGTTTCAAGTAGTACATGATGACGGCTAGATGGCCGAGGCAGTTAAGGCAGCATCCTACCGCAGTCGGGGACCCAAAATTGAATCTAGGCGAGCAGCCCTAGGAATTTTTTGTGGACGATGCGTTCCTAATATATCGGACCCCATCCTTCCCGATTTTGCCTTATTAATTCTCTATTAAGAGGATAAATTTGGATTTGGCACTACCAATTGACTATTTGAAATGTTCTTAATAAAATAAAGTATAATTTATAAAGAAGTTTGTTATAATTTGAGATATCCTGCATAACAATCTGGATCGCTACTTCCAAAGATAATTTCGACCGTCTTCGAAATTATCTTTTGTGAAAAATAATTTTCTGTCGTATTTTTTCTTACAACCTTCCATTTTTATAGTTGAAGAAATAAAACAAAACAAACTAGATTTAATACTTTTTTCAATGATGTTTTAGAGATCCTAATTATGCATACTCTTAAATTACGTGCGTATTCTTTAATTAAAAGCCTATTCGTGTGTACTCTGTATTAGTACATCTGTATTAATTCATAAAAAAGTCATAGTCGGCAGTACTTCTCACGTGTTCTATGTAATCCCGCCGAAACCTAGCTAACAAAGCAACCTAACTTTCTATCAACAAACAAAAATGATCATATTTATATTTTAAAGAACTGAGAACTCATTATTTCAAAGTGTAAAATATTTCGGAAGAAGGTCGCAAATTTCACTTAACTATTAAAATCACAATTAAATCATTATTAAGTTTAAAGATTCATAGTTTACGGAAACGCAACATTTCACCACAAATTTTATATAACACAATCCAACAATTAATCATATTGCCAGTATTACAGAGAGAATAAAAGTTTCTCAGTTATACAATATTTTCTTTCTTCTCATTTTAATTTGAGATAACAGACATCATTTAAAATACATAAATGACACACAAAGAAACTGAACGTATGGACATCGTGGTCCGAACTTTTTATAATAAAATTTTTACTTTTTTGAGAGTTTAGATTTTTCTAGTAGCTCATGTTTATTGTACACATATAGTATAATGGGAGGAAGACATGATTAAATTGACAGGTAATCTTGAGTTACAGAATACTCAGCATGTTGTACCATTCATGCGAACTTCGCATTAGTTGTATGCCTACATCATGGTGTAACAATTTTAATGACCAGCAGTGTAATTGCGACGGAATCGGAATATCCATCCACACGTTCTGGAGATACAATCGTTTGTTATACGTAAACACTAGCTCCTACAAAGATTTTCAACAAGCTTTTGAATTTGGCTGTATAAAATAAGTGCAAAACCAAAGAATAATTTAGAATAAAATTTGACTAAATTTTTAAATTAAATTACTGTGGTAGAATTGATTAAAGGAATATTTATAAAGAAAATGAAACATTTTATTAATACAAATTATTTTCTTTACGTTTTTTATTTTAACATTGCTAATTTATATATTTATTTAACAACGATATAATATCAATAACAATGTTGAAATTTAAGAACTGAACCAAAAATGGATATAACAGTGAATATTAAATAGATAATTGGAACAAAATAATATTTAAAAAAAAATCTGTTAAAATTTTAATGCTCGTTTCTTTTCGTTTATTATTTAAAATTTTCACACGTAAAATTAAATAATGAGAATAATAAATACTCATCACGTTTACTTATATTTCTCTCAAATTATAATGCTTTGATTTTCTATAATTTTAATCAATACGATAAGAATATGAACATGAAGAATAGAAAATTTAATTAATTTTTGTTTTTTATGTTCATTCTATTTCATAAAACGAAGAAATTACGAAGAAAAATGTTATTTTGTTACTCATTATACAGTCAAATGCAATATTTAAAAATTTGCCAATTAATATAGAATTTTAATTTGATTAAATATTTATAAAATATAACATTTTAACTTTATAATAAGTAGTTAAAATAAATCTAATATGCATACAATAGATTAGAGTTAAATTACATGTTCTTTCTTCAATAAAATTGTCTTTAATACCTTATTCTGTAGTTTTGAAGCAATTAAAGGATATTTTTCTTTACAACATTTTATTTATGTGACAACGGTAAAGGTTGTTGGTCTTAATATGAAATAATTTATTGTTCTTGATATCACGAAAACAAATCAAATTGAATAGAATTCAGTTATATAGAGGATGCACAGAATACAAAATCACTACAGAGTCATAAAACAATCGTTAAGCATTTGTCATGGTCATTTTTCCTTATTTTATGACTCATTACAAATTGAAGTAAGGCTTTTATATATTTAAAACTACAATTTTGTATTTTTAAAGTTCGCTGTTTTTTTTCATATTATAAAATATAACCCAAATATAAATATTTGAAGATTTATTAATGAAACTGGTCAAAAATAAATTCTATAATAACAATTTTTAAAGTAAAATTGTAAAGTTTGTAGACTTGTTAGTAACGTATTTTCTTAAGTTGTTATTTTTTTTTACAAGAAATGTGTTAATGATTTATTTCACTTGTACAAGGAGCAATTTTCCTTAAATTTACTTGCTTAAACATTAAGAAAGCAGAGAAAAATTTTAATGTGATCATTTAAACGGTAACTGTATAGTAAGAAAATGATATCGAATGTAAAAAGATGAGCAAAAGTCATTAACCTTCTCAGAAATAAATAATTTATATGAATTTTTCTGAGATTAAAAACTTTAAATGTACAGTTAAGGAAATTATAATTGAAGAATTTTCTATTAAAACATCGTTAAATTATTAACAGTAACAACTTTATAAACTGCACGTGAAAAATCGCGAAACGAAAAATATAAATTAACACGTTAACTAAAAATGAATATAAAAATTTTTTTTGAATATTTTATTTATTTTTGTGTTCAGTTTATTTTTATAATAAAACAAAGAAATGCAAAAAAATTTGCGATTCTTTTTTTATTCAAAATCCATTAGAAAATGTACGTTTCATTCACATTAAGGGGAAAGCAACGCCAAATTTCGCCCTAGTGGCTGGATTTTTAACTAAAAATATTCCCGAAAATCGAAACCGCATACTTACGGCAGAATGTACACCAAATTTAGTTGAGATTTACCAATAGTTCTTTTTACAGAAAGCTTTTAACACTTACTACTATAATTATGATTATCCTGTAAGTCTAAAATTATACACGGTATAAAAAATGCAAAAAGAATTCTAAATCAATAATCAAATAAATATACAAATTTTTCAAAAATCCATTCGCTAGCATTTAATAATACAATACACCAAAATATTTAAACGATATTTATTGCTAACAAGAACATTCATATTTTATTTTATGTTGCTAATAATCACTTAAAACATTATTTTTGAAAACCAAAACAGAACCGAATATATTGTTTATTCGAGATATGAGATAATATTAAAATTTGAATTTTATTGCCAAGTTGTAGAAGAGCTCTTCCAACGAAGGAGGGAATAACCTCACAAAAGTAAAGGAAATTTTATTCGTAAGATTTCCCGGTCGATAATATAATTTTGGAGCTGGTGAAGTGACTGCGTCTTCTAAACACCAAATCACATCTTCGACTCGATTACATTTTAATAATTTGGATATATCATTACATTTTTTGAGATATTTTTCAAAATATTCGTCTCCGAGAGCTGAAGTATTTTTTGGATTGGCATTCTTCCACGATTGATTGAAATAGGATTTAACGCTGTCTTCAGAAGTTAAATTAGTGCTGTAAATATTAGAAACATTTTAAAATATATTTAGCAATTATTCTATAATATTTAAAATGTTGTAGAGGAGAAGGTGGTATTATGGAACCCCAATTACATTTTAGTGAATTGTAAACAAGGTATCATAACAAACCCACATTTTTTTTGTGCGAAAAGTACTGGTAACTATTAAACTAAATGTTCCTAATTCGATTTTTCGCTAGTGTAACTATAAGTATGGTTTTTAAAGGCTTTTGTACAAAAAGTCAGAAAGTAGGCTTAGAGAAAATCGGGTGGTAATATGGAACCTTACTGTATATTTTCAAAAAATGCTTTAATGTAGCCAAAAACAAATAGGTAAGTACAAAAAATGTTAAATAATTACAAAATTATTTACTCCAATGTATTTTATCGCAAAAATGCCTTTATAATAGAAAAATATGATCTCCATCAACAATACATATTCCAGCAGCTCTTTTTCGATATTCTCAGGAAGAATTGCCTTCTACCTAGTGTCATTTTCACAAATTGCTCCGGACGAATGTCTGCTTGCAAAGAGAGAGTTCAGAGGAGTTGAGTTCCATATTACTGTAAAAGCACCAATAGGGTCCGTATTTCACGCATCGCCATCTTGAATTAACTTATTTCTGTCAAGACCAAAATTTAAAAAACGTGAACATCACACAGATTAATATGTACCCCTAAGTCTCTGAAACGGAATACATGCACCAGTGAACCTACAACTACACGATTTATATTTTAAAAATAATAAAATTCAATTAGCATTCAAAACTTGCGAATTTTGAAAAAAAACAAATTTGCTGATTAAATACGGACAACCGTTTATAAAATGCTGTCAGAATAATAAATTTACGTAACCAGAATGGAAAAATTCAGTTAAAATAATTTAGAGTATAGTTAATTTTATAACACTCCCATAGATTTACGTGCATATGAATTTGTTCGATTTTAAATGCTTTCCTCGCGTTTTATTTTGAATATGAAAGATATACAGAGTGCCCACCAGTGGCCAAGCGGTCTTCGTTCCCTGAACACTGGGAGTTCGATTCTGGTTCACGCCTCGCTCGGATGGGCTAGCAGGCCACGTGGAGTTTTCCGGGTTTTCTCCACGTCTATAACGTCTAAATAGGGACCAGTTTCCCTTAAAAGATCCCCCCGGAAGACTATTTGCAGTTTTAAAATTAAAACCTCACATATTCTATATAATACTAAAAATATTGATATTGAAATTCTATTTTAATATTAAAGCTGCACATAAAACTCCATAAAAATTCTTTCATGTCAATATTTTTATTATCTACTATATTATAATAATGATAGAAAATACAGTATGTTTTATGTCTAGAATACAGTATATCAAAGGTTTTTTTTATTACAAAAACCTAACATTAAAAATAATTTTTAATTTCAACTAATTTTGAATGTTTTGAAAGATGACATCCATAGGATCCTACTGATGCATTTGTTACAAGATTTTTGAGGTTTGTTGTGTACCTATTATTAAATACCCAAATAAGAATAGGAAATGTAAGGAATTGTTTCTGCATTGTTTAAAGGCATACTTTCAGCTATAAAGTTTCATTCATTACATGAAGAAAATCAGATGAAAACTAATCTACTTATAACTCTTCAACTGATGTAGTTTTTTTCCATGTATGTTGACGATGTTTCGAAATTAGTTAACGGTGTAACAGTAAACTGTAAAAGGTACCTCTCCAGCAGCAGTGTATCTGTTACACCGCTGCTGGAGTAGTAGTATCTTTTGTAATTTTTACTTTTTTATGTAACAATTGATGAATCTTTCTTTTGGAGGTATTTTTCTTTCTGTGAACAAACTGTTTACAGAAAGAAAAATACATCCAAAAGAAAGTTGGGATGGCATTATGCTTTAATTTCTTCTCAGCATCTTTCGCTTTCTCTTCATACGTGGTTTGAAATGATCTTCAGGCAAAACTATCCGTAAATTTCAAGTTTCTCAGTATGCTTTTATTGCCTAAAATTTTTCCAAAGAGGATCTCTTAGAAAATATTTCCTTGTATATCTCTTTTTCGAAGAATTTGAACAAAAACCGAACATTCAGACATTATTTAGGCTTAAGCAGGGCATTGTTTAATTTTATTACGCAGATATCTGCATAATAAAATTAAAAGATATGTTCTAAACAGACTGAATTTAGTATAACTTAAAGGTGTCTTACAACTAATAGAATTAAATTTGAATTAACAAAATAAAAATATCTATTCATTTATGCATAATTATAATAACAGTAATAAATAAATTATATGAAATATTTTGCAGACATTCTTAAAAATATTCATTGATTTTATCTATTGATAACAGGAAAAAACTGAAAAACCTTTGGATAAAGAATGCAATTCAATAGATTAGAAATATCTGTAGATAACTGAATACATTTCAAAGATATTTTAATTTAAAAATCAGGAAAGTTCTTCAGTACGGGTATAAAGTTCAAGTTGAATCATTCAAAATTTTCGTATCTTGAACGTTTGGAGTACATTATTTTTAATTTGGATACTATACCGAAATATTCGTTTCCGACAAAATAAGAGTAAGATAAATGGTTTAAAATAAAGTAAATCGTTTAATGATAAGTATAACAGATATATCCAAAGAACTTATAATTTAGGAATAATTACCAAAATATTTATTGTAATCTATAATAGACTATATAAAAAAATACAAAAACATTTTATATCTCATAAACACTAAAATACAGATAGTGATGAAGAAAACGAGTAACATGAAAGAAAAAATAAAGTGATTTCTCTTCATTTAATATTATTTACTGCAAAAACTGAAATTTAATTCCTATAATTGACATGTAGGCTTTTTAAGACTATTTAAAATCTACTTTTTAAAGACTTCCAAAATTTAAGCGCAAACATTTGAGAAAATTGGATTGAACAACTGTGTTAATATTACAGAAATTATGCAATTTTTCTGTAAGCAATTCTTGTGTAGAATTATTTAAGTTGAAAAGTAATATTCATAAGCCAAAATTACATTAATTTCTATAAAACATTTTTAGTGCACTATACAAACAGTTTATATGAATTTTCGTTTTAATGGCATCATACAGTATATACCAGTGTTTCTCAACGGGAGCAATTAGTAACAATTTATATTTTGGGGTGCGAAAAACAATTTTCTGGGCGATATAGTAAAACATTATATTAATAATAATACTTAGATATTTTATTCGTTATATCGTACAATAATTAAACAAATAACATTATACTAGTCACTAGTCTATTCAATGCAGTACGAATTTGGCGTTAGACTTGTCCCTCGGCATCGAAATTTTATAGTGAAGGGGGCGATACTACGTAACGGTTTTATTGTAGGGGACGATACTACGTTGAAGAGGTGACGATTCGTTAGAGGTTGAAAAACATTGATATATACTGTACATCTAATGCAGATCAAATCTAATGAAAACAGCTATAATTGCAATGACTTTTTCAGTTTTTTTCTTTACATTACAACTAAATACGAACATAAACGTAAAAACGCAGTAATTAAGAGACTTGCATGTGTCAAAACGTTATCGGAAATATCTAGATAGCTTTATAAACAACTAGCTGTTACCCGCGGCTTTGCTCGCGCGGATTTTGCAAGCAAACCCCATTTATATTCAGTATTTCAACAACCATAGTAATTGTTATATAACACCTACCGCTGAGAATGATGAGAATTGCCGAGAATCAAACGAACTATTTTCAATTTGATTAATTTTCTGGAACGTTTACAATCGTTCTATAATCGAACCAATATGCAATAACAAATTCGAATTTAAAACGGTTCGAACATTTTTAAAATCGAAATAGATAAAAATATTTATAACAATGTCTGAAATGTTATTAATTTAATACATCTAAGTACTCGATGAAGACTAAATCCTCTCCCTCTCCCGCCCGCGGGGGAATTTCGAAAAATCCCTTCTTAGTGTGCGTTTCCATGACGTACCCTAACTGTCTACCAAATTTCACCATTTTAGGTTAAGCAGTTTGCTCTGGGGGATGATGAATCAGTGAGTGAGTGAGTCATTCAGTCAGTCAGGACAAGCAATTTTATATATTTAGATTTCAAACCAAATCACATTATTCATAATATACAGAACCACGTATGACTTTCGACTTAATATTGTGGATTTTTACAACGTCATATAACTAACCAATTTGACATCCCGCTGTCGCCACTGTCATTATCTAGATACTGTTGTTTACTGAGTATAAGTTATATGCATATATTACCTGAACTTTTTACATAGATTTCGAGTAAGATCCTTGATTCTTTGCTGAATTTATACAGATTAATGTTTAAAGGCTAATAGAATGATAGTTTATTCTACACTATGTGAACAGTTTTGACGTATTCACAATTTATACTACACACGGTACTAAACAAAACGATAATTCTGAAGGCAAATTTGGATCATTGTTCAAAACAAAAACGCTCTTTAAAATTGAATTATATCAACCATTTCAAATCGAAATTAGGTGGTGGACTGTATTCTTAAAAAAACTTCGTGCTTTGCGCGGCACGTTTCAAAGCATAAGATGTGTTTTTCAAATTAAATTCATTTTACTGTGCAGCGATTAACATAAAAGAGAGCTTTGCTCCGCAGACCTCCTTTTAATAATCCATAAAATTATTACCAAAACTTTTTTGTTTACTGAGACCTGCTCATATCCTTACAAACTGTAACTCGTATCCCTAGTATACGTGAAGCTAAGAGCCAGAAGTACAGCTGTCCCTTGATAGTCCGACATTTTGTAATCCGACATGCTCAGTAGTCCGACGCACCTCCCGTCAAGGTACTCGTCCCCGTTACGTGTCTGCTTGCACAGAAGCATGTCGCGACGTGAATCTCCCCACCCAATTCTTACACGAAGACACACATTTAGTGTGTTTTCCGTGAGCAGTTCTGTTCAAACAGTTGGAGTAGGGAATATTGTAGGCTACTGCTAGCAAAACAATGCCAAATATGTAATCACTTTCGGTAATCCGGACACTTTTAGTAATCCGACACCTCTTTGATCCCTTACCTGTCGGATTATCAAGGGACAGTTGTACTATTGAAGGATAATTCAAATGTGACTCGCAATTTTTCATTGCAGAGTCGGTTAGAAATATCCAAATCTATAATGCCGACTAATTTCACTGCGTGTCAGTCATCCATTTAATGACAAAAATTTAAGTTGATCATATAGCCTTTTTATGCTATTGTTTCATTCAAATAAAATCTAAATTTTAATTGTAAAAATAAACAAAACACTTGAATATCTCATCGCAATTATGAATGTTTCATATAATAGCCTCAACTCGTTTATGAGGCTTTTATATGAAACATTCATAATTGCGTAATCTCGTAATTCAGGCAAACAAAGTAGAAATTCCTTATACCCCATCAATATTATACTAAAATAACATTTAGAATAAAATAACTGTTTTACTTATTTTTAGAATCAAAAACTAGAAACAAACTTTAGAACAAAAACTATTGATACAGAAAAGTACATATTAAAACGAACTTTAATTTTATGAATATTAATTTACCTGTACATATAAGGCTGGACATTTATAACTTTAATATTCCATTTTCTCATTTCCAAACGGATTCCATCCGAGAAAGTTGACGCTGCCGATTTACTCATACAATATGGCACCATTGATATTATACTTGTGACTGCTAAATAAAGTTTGAAACAACATATATGTATATATATATATATATATATATATATAATTAGATATTAATTCATACAATTATTATTAATATTTTTGGAAAAAAGTTATGATACCTATTGCAATTTTTGTGCTAATTTCTAATCTATGTTTAGATTTTCTCACTCAGGGATAGTTTTCGGAAATGTACCTGTTTCGGAACCTGAGTAATCGGAATTTTAAGGTTTTTCTTTAATATTTTAAGGTTTATAAGTGTATTCCTGGTATAACTTAATAAATACAGTAGAACCTCGAAAACTCGGCCTAATGTGGACCGAAGAATGGCCGAGTTTGTGAAAATGCCGGGTTATCGGGAATGGGGTTAAAAAATTAAGTACGAGTGTTTCCTCAGAAAATACTGTACTGTACTTGTATGTATTGTTTACTTGAGAATATAACAGAGAATAAACTGCCCAAATACCCTTAAACAAAGGAAAAGTACGTCCTTTATGAAGGCATAGAGCCTTTACTACATGAAAATGAAAATTAATGAATACACTGTGTACAGTAATTTACCTAATAAGACAGACCTCAGAAAAATACTTTATGAGAGCATTTATACTTTTATAAAGCTGTCTATAATGAAAATTAATTAACTAAGGATTTTTTTTGCCCTGCCAGGGTGTGCCCGAGTTATCCGGAGTGCCGGGTTATCGAGAGCCGAGTTTTCGAGGTTCTACTGTATTATTTAATTCCTAGTGTATAATAATAATAAACATTTATAAATGAGATATGTGACATAATATTCACAAAAGTATTATTATGTAAAGATAATTTTTCGAAAATTTAATAAAATCTTGCGTATAGAACAAATATCTTTTTTTCGTGATGACTGTGGAAAAGACAGTCATCACGAAAAAATATTTAATAATAATAATACTGTATTTCAACAATAATTAATAATACTGTATTTCAACAATAATTAGCTGGCATGAAAGGCATCCATTTTTTTTTTTTCATTCCACTCCTCCAGAGTGAGTATGTCGTTAAGAAAATTTTCACCATGCTCATCGGATACTTCACTGCAGTTCTGGAAAATAATTCAGATGCTAGTCCAAGAAATGCACTTTCACAGACATGTTTTAGCCTAAATCTTGATATGCATTAACCATCTGTGTCACCAATTCCTTTTATTTTTGAGCTCTTCTCTTCAGGACGTTTTCAGTTACATTTTTAAGAAATCTTCATGATCTTATTTCTTTATCCGTTAGACATGTTTAAAAATCTGTATGTTGTTAAAAGTTTTCTAATTTGAGATCCAACAAAAACATCATTTCTGGTGGAAGATGGAAGAATTTGCTTGAAAGATACAGAAATCCTCTTCCATTTGTATCCGTGGTCTTACAAATTGTTTAATAAGGATTAACTTGAAGTGAAGAGGGGAGAGGAAAGAAGCACATCTTCACAAGCTAACAGACTCTCATGCTGTACAATTTTTTTCTCACTTTCCAATTTTGTTCAGGACAATTCATTTTTTGGTATAGTGATTCTCTGTCACGACTATCCTAAATTTGGTAATGTTTGTGCTTGGATGGAGATTTTATTCCTGTAACCCGGAACCCAACAGTTTACTGTTTTGCTTACTTAATTCCAAGTTACGGTCGAAATCATTTAAATCTGTCTGAGTTAACACACTTTTTCAAACTTCTGAGTTCACTTTTTAACAAAGTGAATGACTGGACTGTATCATTTGTGTCCTGATACACAGGATCATACTTTTAGGAGATGACAATTTTTCGTCGCTTATTTCTTCACTCTCACTGTCAATTTCATTTATCTTGACGGCAATGGAATTGCAAATGAATAACATCATGCAGCAAATTAACACAACCGTCAACATCTGAAACATAGACTCAGAAGTTGTTGTTGTCAACTACTATCCTAAAAATTTTCTGCGTTTATCACAAACTGTAAATTTGAGTAAAATAATGTACTTATAACTAAAAAATTGTGCCTGATATCAAAATTCTGCCTTAAGATTTGAATTTCTCGTAATAAAGCGCTTCAGAAACATTTATTTTACCCAAGAAAACATTCTCTATATAACAGTGTAATATAATATTTAGTAAAATTTCAATATAAAACATTTGACAAACGACAAATAAGTGAAGCTTTGATTATTAAGTAATGTTTCAGAAAGATTAGATTTGGACATTTTATTTGTTAACAGAAAAAATGTATCTTTCAAACCGTAAAGAGCTAAGAAATTTAAAGAATTAAGAAGACAGTTTGGTGAATTTATAGCTTTATACTAAAATCGAGGAACGAAAGTCCGGCAACAAGCGATTGTTTTGGTCCTCCGTAATTTTGTTGCCGTATAAAAAATTAAATCAAATTTACATTAAAATTATTAATAAAATAAGAAGAGCCCTTCCTTTTCTTTTAAAAGATCACAAATATTATTATAAAATTAATTATTTTTACAGTGCAATACGTAGCAGTAAAAATCATATCATGGACAAAAATCTTGTAACACAAGAAAACTGAGACAAAAGTCCTGCAACTTTGATCTTAGTATCGTGAGGCTCTAGCTCCACGTTTGACTTTTAAAACTGCTTTAACTTTTTGTGGCACGGAATAAATTAACTTTTCACATTCTTGGACAGTAATTTTTTTCCATACAAGATGTTTGTTTTTGTCTAAATCTTTCAAAGTTGAAATATGTTTTTGTTTCAGTTATATTTTTCTAAGGGATTATGGTATATTGAATTGCTAAGCCAATCTAATATCTCTATTTCCAAATTTCCAAAATATGATTTCATTTTCTTACCTGTATGGGCAGTGCACCATCCTGTTGATAAGTGTACTCATTGTCAGAAAAGTAATATTTAGCTGTTGGTATAAGATTTTCATTCACTGTTTTAATGTAAAGTGATGAATCAATGTTTTACTTCACAATTTGTAAGCTCCCAAGTCAATAAGCAATTAAAGTTCTATGCATTATAATCCGTAGTGCAAATTTCAGTCTCTGAAATGCAATTAGGATATTTTTTTTTTCGTGTTAATATTTGAATTAGCGGTTTAAATTAAATTATACACAGTATCCATCTAGAAGTTGGCGGATTTTTATGCAATAAAGTATTAATGTCTAAATATCTGAAATCTTAATTCAAACCTAACTCCGACGAATGTATGGTTCTACGAATGATCGCTATAACTCCCTAAACAGATAGCGATAAAAAACACACAAAAACATAAATTTAGCCTACTAACTCTAAGAATTAGATGTCAATATTTGATGACACACTCTCAACCCTGACAAAGACCCATAAAACAAGGGGTACGACCCAACCTGCATCCACTAGCAACAGTAGTGGGCAAGTAATATGATGCAACCCACATGCTGAGTGAGAAAACAAACATGTATTAACTTAACAGCAGATAAGCTGCTTTTAGAGTAATATTGTTTTTCATTATTCATTCATACTAATGATAACATAAATTATATACGCTTAGGCTATGCGAAACAAATTCTGTTATAGAAAACATTTTTGAACCAATCTGTGATGCCTTATTTCTTTCATCTAAGAAAGGTATAAATACACTACCAGCCATGCTTGTTAAATTGACAATTCTTCCTTTAGATTTTCGAAGAAGTGGCAGAAATTCTTGCGTTACACGAACCATTCCAAATACATTAACGTTGAAAAGTTTTAAAATTGTTTCCATCGGAGTCCATTCCAGTTCACCTGCATGTCCGAGTCCAGCGTTATTAACAATCGCCCATAAAACATCTATGACAAATGAGAAGATATTTTATATAAATAATTGACTAAATTTTTAATAATATTTATTACAAGAATATCACAAAACTAGAACTAATATATAAAAATTGTATATAAATTTCAAAGAACAATAAGAATGTTCTTAATGACATAAAAGTTTCTATATTGACTCAGGAAGAATAAACTCCAATAATAAACTCGAGAGAATAAAAAATACAACGCCAGCAGTTGCCTACAAGAAAAGGTCTTTTGTGAGGAATGCATCCCATCAATTAAAAAACTTTTTTCTCATTAGAATATTTTTATTGTTAGTTAAAATTTTTTAAATACGAAGTGACGAAGCTTTTCTATAAGATTTGTAATATTTAATTAATCTTCAACAGATCAATATCATAAAGTTAGATATAATGGATATAAAATATTCTATAGTTACCATCGGTTCCAAGATTGATTTCTATATGTTCGGCTGCTCTTTTTATACTTTGTTCGTTGGTAACGTCGAGTGGAACGATTTCAATCTTTGAAGAAAATGCTTTTAATTTATTGGCTCCGTCACCTTCTGGAAAGAGACAACCCGCAAACACACGATAGTTCCTTTCTGCCATACGTTGAGCGAAAAGATGTCCAAATCCCGTATCGCATCCTAGTAAAAAAGTTTTACAAAATACATCTTGCAATGTGTCTATCTTTATATTCGCTATAAAAACTATGTTAAAACACTAGAATTCGCAAAATAATACTTTTTTTTAGCCATTACTAAACAGTTGATTTCAGATAAGGCGTTGTTGCAAAACATCAAGTCGTAATAATCACAAATCTCTAACAATATTATTGTGAATGGATGTTCTCAGTTTGTTATAGAATAAAATTAAAATATACAATCCGTATAGTTAAAAAGTAACACGAATGAAAAGTATTCTAATGAATATCTTCATAGCCATACCAGTTCATTTCACAACGAAACACAGTTTTAACTAAAGTAAAATTATATCCTTCATAGAGCAGAAAAAATTAAATTCACAAATAAATTAATTAAAATAAAGAATTAAAACGATGTTTCGTAGTTTTTCCTTTTTCTAGTAAGGCAATTTTTTATTATACTGTGCATGTGTCACTGCCAGAAGATTTTTTAAGCTGGAGAGTTGAGATCGACGTGACATCTCAAAAATTTAACTACAGAAACAAAAACATTCAAAATTCATTAATTCTAAATTGATAATGAAATTATTCATTTGCAATATGCAGTAGTTTTACAATAAATTAAAATGTAAGTTAATAGTCATAAATACTTTTAAAAAAGTAGGCACATAACGTATAAATTGCTTGGCAACTCAGATATCAGAACTTTCTATGAAACGTGAAAGTGTAAATTTGATTTGATTCTCATAAAAATCTTTAATAAATTTGTATTTTGTAGTAAATTTTAATCGGCCTTGTACAAGAAATTTCTCGAACCCTCACTTAAGCAAGAACAACTGATTTTTTTTTCGCGAGAATGCTCTTTACCATATAGCTAGTGAGCTGCAGAAACAGGATCCTTAGCATCAGATCTATTTATCCGACAGGGAGACATATCGGATGAATTAGGGCAGATAAAATACTAGAATACATATAACAATATAATACAACCACAGACAGTGTGAAGGGCTTATGAAAGCTTCGGTAAGTACAACCCATTTCGTACTTTTTTATTCTTCATTGATCAATAATTACATGACCCTTGTATTTTGCATCTATTTATATATTGTATTTTTGAAATAAAATTTATGTACAAATTGTGTAATATACTGTATACAATAAATTCAGGAAACTTTACTGTTTGATATGTTTTGTCAATCGTTGATTACGTATGTAAAATGTTTGGCTAGTTCCTGGTGTAGGAACTTTTTAATCCAGAAATCCTGAATGCTGTTATTCTAGATGTCTTACAACTGTGTGTGCTTTGTATTGTAGTTAGATGTCGTGTACAATGATTTCAGCATAATGCATAATTGGGGTATCGTGAATATTTTGTTCTCCTTCACCTGCTTCATCTTATATTTCATTGGATCGTGCCATCGTGCAGTGTACTACATAGTTGTCTGTAAAACAGTGTCTCATTGCATATAATTTTTGTTGCTTTTCAGTAGGCAGGTTTCTATATTTTGAGTTTGTGACTTTGGCTGCAAGGTTTTTTTTTTCCTTTCATTGCTTGAGATCTTAAATGCATTTTGCATGTATATTCTGTTGTTCGTGTTTTGGAGTATTTTAAATTTTCTTTAATATACTTTTAGTGTCTCATTAATTCGATTGTTATGTTATTTTTTTAATGTGTTAGCCTGTACAATTGCTGTCTAATATTATATATTTATGTTTCTATCGTTCTTTTTGAAGTAGGCTAAGCTTATGATGTATCAGCTTTTTGATTGTGTCTGTCTGAAATTGTACTTTAAAACCATGATATGTTAGCAACGATGGTACTAGAGTAAACTTGCAGAAATGAAACTTAATAATAAACTTAAAATATATAAATACATATAGTCTACGCATAAGAACTCTGTTCAATGAATTTCTTTTATAAGGTTCAGCAGAAGAATGAAAAATCATCTGATTAGAAAATATGCTTGAAATTTAAAAATAATAATTGATTTCGCTGCTATTATTTACCATGCAAACATAGAATTCAGTTTTACAAATAAACAAATAGATTTTATTATAAATCAAGTGCAAGAATTTAAAAACAAAATTCTACGATAAAGATTATTACCAAGATGGCTATTTTTTTTACAATGAAAAGGAGGACAAATAAATTGAAAAAAATATCGTAAATAAAAGAAACATTTTATTTATCGCAACAATAATACACTATAATATGACATATGCATAATACATTTGTAACATTTTATATTGTAATTGTGCTTACATGTCTGTTAATTATTATTTAAATGAGTACTTTTCTATTGAATTAAAATTTTTTTGTCAATGTATCATCATCTAACAATATATTGGAAATATCTGAACAAGAAATATCCTTCATATTGAATTTTACGGCAAGTGCTGCAGCTAAAGTATCAACATTCAATTTCGATTTCTCACTTGTCCAAAAATCATTGGCAATTGAAAAACTCTTTAAACTGCTGCATTAGTTCCAGGGCAGCACAACGTAAATTGAACAAGTATAAATAAATTTTCACATGCAATATGTTCATTTTTGAAATGACTGAAAATATCCACCCATCTTTTATCGATTTCAACAAGTTGATTTTCCCATTGTATTAATTTTTCAGAATTTAAATTACATTCAGTCTTCCAATTTCTTCAAAAAGACAATTGTCGTCTATTTTAATATCTGGCATTTCTTTAGATAAAACTCAACACAAGATTCAATATCTTTCTAATATACTTGCAATGAAGTCAAAAAACACCATTGAAAACCATTATTTCCCATGTTGTTTGTTTCAGACCATTCTTTGATATATCGAAAATATGTTTGGTAAAAATTCTGCACTTCTTTGACAAACTTTTCCATTATGCTCGGATTTGATTCCTCTAAGCCTGACAATTTTCTTTTTATTCAGTTAGTCAGAACGATTTTTAAACCAGTTTTTAAAGGAAGAAATTTTTCTTCAAATTGGGATTTATATTGAAGGATAAAGTCATTCAAAATAAGACTAACTTCTGTAGCTGAAATGTGTTCACCTTCAATCTTTTGAATCGTTTTGTGAAAAATAGATGCTTGATTATCTACAAAATACAGTAGTCTAATATCTCAGAAATTTCATTATTGAGAAACAATTCCAGGATTTTTGGACATTTGTCTAAACTTAAAAAATATGAACGGAGAGGCTCAAATAATTGTAGAACACGCTCTACAGCAGGTGTTAGAGCAAGCCATCTAACTTTTGAATATCTTAAAAGTTTTTTTGTATTTAACATTCGCTTCTTTACAAAATTGTTTAAAAGTAGCCACACGAACGGTAAAACGACTAAAATACAAATAAGTTGTAGATATTATTACTCCTACATCAATTAGCATGGCACTTGACGCCATGTTGATTGCATTTGACAAAATATGTGCATTACAACCTATTCCTAGTATTTTCTTTTGGAGTAAATCTTGTAATTTTATATACACATTATGCACCCCTTTGCGTCTTCGCCCACCAAAGTTTGTGTTTGTATTATCAGCTGTTAGTGCAACAACTTTGGATTTCAAATTGTTTTCATTTATTTCTCTGTATAGATGGTTTGACAAAATTTTAGCAGTTTCACCCTCAATGGATTCTAAATTTAAAATTTTTACTTGAATCCTCTTGGTAACATTAAAATATCTTACTAGTATTAGATACAATTATAATTTGATGCATCAGATAAAACCGTTACAAATGCTGCAATTTTCAAGTCTGCTGTAAGTATTTTATCACAGTAATTTTTAAATACTGATTTAATAATAGTCTCGCATTTTGTCCTGGAAATTTAGCAATGTGAAACTTTTTCAATAATTTAGTTGTACAATCCATACTACGAAAACTTTGATTGTAAATTATGGTATAAAATGCAAATGTTCCTTCCATTGCAGCTAACTGTTTTTCATCTTCAGAATAATTTCAAGTTTTAAAAAATCCTGTTACTTTACAAGTGGAAGCTGATGCATCTAATGATTGTTTATGTTTGTTGGTGGACAAGTGTTTCTTTATAGTTGCTCTGCCCAACTGCAATACAAAATTATCCTCTGCAAATATTGCAGAAATCAATGGCATCTTTCTTTGATATGAGGAATGGAAATTCCTTTTTCAATTGATCATTGAAATGGCATTTCCTCTTTTTGATTTTTCCATCCCTTAAATGAAATTAAAAATTAAAAATAAAATATAAAGCTGTACACGAACGATGCAAGCATATTATGAATAAATAAAATTAAGGTACCTTTCGGTTAGCAGGACGCCAGTCGAAATCCTTCTATTTTTTGCAATATTTGACTTTTGTTTTACCTAACCCAACCTAACCTAAACAAAAGTCGAATATTGAACAGCTAGACCCACAAACGAAGTAAAATACAAAACGAAATTCCATCGTTGCGGTCGGTTAGTAATAACTACAATTGAACTTCATAAATTTTAAAATCATTTTAACAAAAATAGTAAGTTTGCTTTATTTTTCACTCTAAACTACTAATCTAGCGCAACATAGACAATTTCGCACAAAGTCGGGATTAAGATCACATATTTCTACTGATGTCCTGCTAACCGAAAAGTACCAAAATTAATTATTGCAACTGAAACTTTAATAACATAAGCGAACAAACTTCACTAAAATTTAAATTATTTTACACTTCTGTTGACAACAGGGTTGTATAAATTTGTAAATAAAATTATATATATTTGGAAATTATTAAATAGATAATGAATTGATAAAACGTGAATTGTACTTATCTCTGTATAATTGAATATTCGCTGAGAAAGAAATAATTACAGTGAGTTATTCAATTGCCGACGTGCCGTGAGTCTACTGTGTGTGTATGTGCCATGTCGTGTTTAGGTAAGAAGGAAACAAACCCCGCGTTTTTTTATGCAGCGAGAGTGTAGCGAAATAACGTCACGAGCAGTATTGGCCAATTAGAAACCAGTTTCAGTGTGTTCGCTGTAAAGCGCTTCTCGAGCGCTG